CAAGTGCCTGGAAAAATGCTACTTCATACCAGTCTAAGGATTTGAAGGTTTTTACTCAGGTCTGACTCTGAACTGCCTGGTCGTAACTAGATCTAAACAGATGGACTTGATGTGTAGGAAGATTTACACCTCCTCTTCCTCGCTACCAAATATGATTTTGTGAACTTGGCAGCTATGTCTAAGTTCACAGAACATCTGCCTGAAATCTCGAGGGAGGAATCTGGGGCATTTATTACTGAAGACGGTGAGAAGGGCAAGACTTTTTCACAGTCTGCACCAGATATTGCAGATACTTTGGCCGGTGGTGGCCTGAGGGGGTACCAATGAAATGACCATGCTGGCTGCAGAATTCAGGCATTACTCCCAATGTACAAGAGGATCTGCCATTCAATGGTAGAGTCCTTTTTGTCAGACAATGCACTTCTCCAAGGACTTTAGAGCTATCATATGGTCCTGGGGGTGCAGAGGAGCCACTATGGTGGCCAACAGCAGCAATATATGCAGCACATATTTGGGAAGACTTTCCCTCCCACAAGACGGAAAAACCAACCCAGACATGGGCACAGGTCCAGAAGAGGACACATTCTAGTCCAACTTTCCCTCAACAGCCCCAAACCCCCACTTTGACTCCTTGGCCCAGAGCAGTGTTCCAGTCATCACTACCTTCTCCCCATCCCCTCTGGGGGTCATAACCCCAGGCCCCTTGCAAGTTGTGTGGCTACAAAGCAGCCTATTTAGCACCACACAATAGCTCAGGGAATCCACCTGGGAACCTTCGGTGGCAGCCACAATCTAGCCTGGTCTCCAAACTGTCACAGTTCAGGGAGAGGGTGACCACTGCAGCCAGGGCACCCAACCCCAATTCTACTATGATCTGGACCTGTCATGGCAAGAGCACCCATAACCCCAGCCCTAACTCTGCCACAGGCCAGACCAGTCATAGCCAGTGAAAACCCATCTGTGGCTGGTATGGTCCACATCTACCAGGGTAACCCAGACCCCTCTCCCAGTCCCAGCTATGCTGTAGCCTAGACCTGCCATGGCGGGGACATTCCTATCCTGGCCCAAACCCAGCTTCATTCTGCACATGGGCAATCTGTGGCGGGAATGAGGCTGAAGGATTTGGAATGTGGGAAAGGGCTCAAGGTTAGGGAGGATGAGGGCTCTGGCTGGCAGTGTGGGCTCTGTGGTGGGGCTGTGGATGAGACATAGAGGGTGTGTCTAAACTACACCCCTCTGCCGACAGAGGGATGTAGCTTAGGCACATCGCTATTGCAAATTAAGCGGGGATTTAAATATCCCGCGCTTCATTTGAAAAGAAATGGCTGCCGCGGCACTTTGCCGGCAAAAAGCAGCAGACTAGACGGGTTGCACGAGGTATAAGGGATCGGTCGGAAAAGGCTTTCCTTGTCGACCAATCCCCATCTTGTCGACCAATACCCTTCTAGTTTCACGAGGAGTAACGGTAGTTCGGAATAGGACCCTAGTCCGAACTACCTAGTTCGAGCCCCGTGTAGCCGCGCTACACGGGGTTCGAAGCAGCGGGGATTTAAAAATGGCGGCTCCCCGCTTATGCTAATGAAGCCCGGGAAATTCAAATCCCGGGCTTCATTAGCAAGTGCGGTATGCATACATTACCCTCCTAGTTCGAACTAGGAGGGTAGTGTAGACATACCCAGAGAGACTCTGGGGAACCAACCCCGGCGCCTGGAGCGCCCTGGTTTAAGTTTGAAGTTAATCTGTATGGGTATGTCTACACTACCCCGCTAGTTCGAACTAGCGGGGTAGTGTAGACATACCCTAAGTGAGTAGTCAACCTAGCCTAGGCTTATCAGTTAGTTGAGTTGACTACTCGCATTACCTTCCCTCTTGCCACCTCTGATACAGAGGCTTCAAGTGGGGGGGAGGGAGCCGACCTTTATAACATTTAAACTGCAGAGCCACAGTGGATGTATAGCTTCTGGACCCACTGTAAGCTGCATTCAAGGACCCCAAGCTAAATAGGGCCCCTGGGCTGCAGCCCCTAAAGCCTCTTTCTTAATCCAGCTCTACTGCTGGGGGCCAAACAAGTGTGCCTCTCCCTTGTGCAGCAGCTCCCTCCTGGCCCTGCTGCAGCTGGGGGAGAGGCACGCTCCTCCGGCCCCAGCTGGGAGCTGCCACTGCTGGCAGCTCTGTGCATGGCAACCCTGAACCCCAGCATGAAACTTATTAGATGGCTGTGTAGCTTACAGGGAACTTTGGTTCCTTTCCTTTGGGTGCCTTTCTTTGTGTTCTAATAAATAAATATACACAAAGCTCTTGCCAAAAAGGATGCCAATAAATATCTTGTTAAAGTGTGTGTTTGTAATGTCTAAATCATAGCGTTCTGGGAGCTAAGCCAGATACATTAATACCTAGAAACCAAATAAAAGGTAAAGTAAGATATGATTTCTTAATTTTGTTAGCATGATTTCTCAATCTGTGCACCAACGGTAGGTTTTGCATTTAAAATGTCCCTGGCATGTAAGCAAAGGAAGAAATGAGATAATTAAAATGAGAGTTGCCCTGAAGGAGACCTAAACATTCCAACCCCCTAATTCCACAGGGAGGAAGGCATCACACAGCAGCAAAAAAATTGCCAGCTGCCAACGTTCATAACATTAAGGCTCTCTCATGTTAAGAGTTCCTTTTTCCTTCCTCATAAACTCAACAACAGAAGCTAAATAATGGGTTTTGAGCATTGTAGTATAGGGAGTGACCAAACACGTAGGCAGCAGAGGCAGAAACAGTGGGACTGAGAAAGCCAATTTCCTCCTATAGGAAAGGTGTAGTATGCACTCCCATATTCCTCTGCTGGCAGAGTAGATATGAGGCTATGATCTAACCAGAGAGAGAGCCCTTGTGGACTGGCTAGTACTTTGAGAAGAACTGTATTTGCACTCTTCAAGCACCAGCAGAAAAGTTAAGGTTGCCTTTTGCATGAATGCAGGGAAAGGGCAGTCTGCATCTTCTCCTCGACGTAGTGCCCAAGACTAACCATAGAAGACATAAGAGTCTTTTATTTTATCTTCTTCTGTTTTTTGAAAGTACAAAAACTTTCAACTGGGACAAGCAGATGGAGGGATGTATTTATTCCTGCAAGCATAGCTCAAAAATGGGGATGAACAGATTTTAGGATGTTCCAAAACCAAGATGTATTTCTAGATTAAATATGTCAGTAATTCACAAATCCCAGAATACAATTTACATAGAAACAGTTTTAAAAGAATTACCCTTTTTCTCCTTCAATGAAATACCTACACTTCATAAACAGATGCAAAGGCGGAAACATACAGATCAAGCTGGAGGCCAAACATTGGACTGTGTGTGTGTCTTTTTCTACATACTGATGTAACTCAGTGGTTTAAAGTTTAACTGTACTTTTTAATAGCAGCATTCATATGAGAGGTATTAGTGTTGGCAAAGCATAACAGAACACTTAATGCATTTATGACAGTGTATACATCAATATTATCACACTTTATGTCACTTACCTGACAGTAATAGTTTCTTCTATAAATAGAGAATTCAGTTCAGAAAGACACAGCCCCTGCATATGTACATTCACAAGCATCGTATGTATCCTATATATTGGCACACAGACTAATTTTAACATACCACAGATGGAATATGGTGTGAAGAGAAGAGGGCACCAACTCTCTGCTCACATGTACACATATGCTTATTTAGAGATAGAGGGCTCAGCTGTGACTGGACCATGTAACTGAAAAATTGTAGTCCCTGGGCCTTAGTCTCTGTTGCGCCTCACTTTGAGTTGGATGTAAGTGACTGCACTAAGTGCATGCAAAGTAGGTGATCAGCACTAACAAAGTGGGAGATTTTCATATACCCGGGATGACCATTCTTACTGAGCATCTGAACTGCATCTGAGAATCTTGAAAAGTTTGAGAGCCAAGGTGTGCCTGCCAGGTTGCAGGGCTTCTGCCCCATGGGAGGAGCCTGCCAGGGCTAGGAACTTCAGCCGTGCCGGGAGGGGGTGTTTGAGGCTTAACCTTTGCAGGAGGTGCCTGTCAGGGCTTTGGCCCTGCTCAAGACCCAGCAGGCATACCCCATAGGGCTTAAGCACCTAGAAGCTGGAATCTAACACGGAGCATATGGGAGTCACCCCCATTTATGTGGTGCCACAGAGCCCCCTTCCTGTACTGCAGTTGCTGCAGCCAGTAAGCTAGGAACTGTCACTGTGGGAAAAGGCAACAGTGAACAGCTGGGAGCTGCAGGGAGAGCCACTGCATTAGGCCCTCTCTGCAGCTCCCAGCTCTCTGTTGCTGCCTCTCTAGAAGGAGCCAGTACCCGGGAGCTGCAGAGAGGGGCTTCTGAGGGCAAAGGGGATGGGAGACGCTGGATATGCGGAGAGGCATGACTCAAGCGGTTGGGTGGAGGCAAACCTTTAAGCTGTGCCCTACCCCCTCTCAGCAGGCACCAGTTGTCTCTCTGCCACAAGGTAGAAGCCCTTAGCCCCCACCCATCTCATATGCAGAAAACGGTGGGGCGTGGGAGGCTTCGTGATCTGCACTTGAACTGTGAAAGAGCCACATGTGGCTCATGAGATGCAGTCAGTCTGGCCACCCCATTTACATAACACTGAATTTAAAATGCACAGACGCATTTCAGATCCACTTTGCCCTAGTGCAAATAACTACAAAAAGTGCAAGGCACCAAAGAACCAACACTTTGGGCTCCTCTGAATGGAAGGGCCAATCAGGTTAAGTGCCAGGGTCAGCACTGGAGTCCCCAGAAAGGAAAGGGCCTCATGATTGAGATTCTCAGCTGCTTCTCCATTGGACAATGGCGCTAGCCCTGCATGAAGGGCACTGTGGAGAGAAGTTACTCTATGTCACCCCGTGCTGCAGGGGGTGGCTTGCTGATTCACTGGCACCCAAAGACATTCGCAGGAAGGGTACATAGTTATTTACATGATTTATGAATAAACTTTCCCTTCTAACAGGAACCAAAAGGCTTACTTTTATCTGCACCGTTTGGATTTCATCACATTCTTTTTCAGAAGCAGATTTCTTTGTCTGTCCTCGCCGGTGACCAAACTTGCATTTGTTCCTCATAACCTGCTCATCATCTTCAATTGGTCTCCGTACATATTTGAAGCGATCTTTAAGGGCTCGTTTCCATAGCAACTGCATAAAAAAAACCCACCATCATTAGAATCCATCAGGAGTTTGCTCCACTCTCTTAAAGCAGGTCATTATCTACTATTTCTAGACAAAAGGAAAACTGACAAGGACTGGTAGGTATAATTTTTTAGCAAGTTTCTACAGTTTATATACTTAGGCACCTCAACCCAATATGCAATGGCTGTCCCAAAGAAAAGCAGGCAATTGCAGCATGAGCCCCAAAACAGGCAAACTGCAATTTCAATGCCACTCAGTCAAATCTGCCTCCTACTATCACCAATTGCCATCAAATTAGTATTTTGTAGCTTTATATGAACCAGCATCAAAAGAGAGAAAATGGACAATTAAAAGATGAAATGTACTATTTGAAGCTCTTTGTTGTTTTCTTGCATTTAATCCCAAACCCACTGCCCCAACCTGTTCCCCTGGAAATGTCTGTGGTGTACCAGCTTGTTGGAGATGGTAACATAAAACTTCACATTTGAAGCATACCAAAATGTGGAGAAAACACCTTGTTTTTCATTTGGTATAGTCAAGATAAATTTTGGAGCAGACATATTTTATTGAGGCTCTTTTAATTTACAAGCACTTCCTTAAGAATTAATGAGGGTATGTCTACACTACAACGTTAATTCAAACTAACTTAGTTCGAATTAACTAAGCTAATTCGAACTAATGGATCTAGACTAAAAAACTAGTTCGAATTAGCGTTTTGCTAATTCGAACTAGCATGTCCACATGAAGTGGACCCTGAACCAGGCTTAAGGATGGCCGGAAGCAGTGCCGGCAGGGCATCAGAGGAGGACTTAGAGTGTGGAGATGCTGTCTCAGGCTAGCCGAGGGCTGCGCTTAAAGGGTCCCGACCCCCACCCCGGACAGACAGTTCTCAGGGGTGCCCCGCTTGCAAAGCAGTCCTGGCTTGGAGTGCCCGGAGTACCCACACTGGGCACATCACAGCACTCGGCCATCAGACCAGCTGCACTTGCCGCAGGCTGCCATCTGGGGAGAGGGGGCAATCGGGGGGCTGCAGGAAAGGTTCCACCCCAAAAGCCCGCAGAGCCAGCCCAGTCCTCCCCATCGGGGGCGCGTACCCCATTCCTCCCTCACCTCCTTCCACTTACCCTTCCCTAGCCCCTTTTCTTGATGTACAAAATAAAGGACAAATGTGTTCAAAAATGGAATCTGTCTTTATTGAACAAAACTGGGGGAGACTGGGAGAGGGGAGGGCAACTACAATGATCAGGGGTTGGAAACAGGTCCCATATGAAGAGAGGCTAAAGAGACTGGGACTTCTCAGCTTAGAAAAGAGGAGACGGAGGGGGGACAGGATAGAGGTCTCTAAAAGCAGGAGTTGGGTGGAGAGGGTGCATACAGAAAAGTTCTTCATTAGTTCCCATAAAGAAGGACTAGAGGACATCAAAGGAAAGGAATGGGTAGCAGGCTTCAAACTAGTAACAGAAAGTTGTTCTTCACAAAGCAAAGAGTCAACCTGTGGAACTCCTTGCTGCAGGAGGCTGTGAAGGCTACAACTAGAACAGAGTTTAAAGAGAAGTGAGATAAAGTGATGGAGGTTGGGTCCATCGAGTGGTATACGCCAGGGGGTCGGAGTGGTGTCCCTGCCCGAAGTTTGTGGAAGGCTGGAGAGGGATGGCATGAGACAAATGGCTTGGTCACTGTCTTTGGTCCATCCCCTCCTGGGTATCTAGGGTTGGCTGCTGTCGGCATACAGGCTATTGGACTTGATGGACCTTTGGTCTGACCCAGTACGGCAATTCTAAGCTCAGGGCTCAGAGTCGGGGGTCTCAGTGGACC